CTGGTGGTGGGTGGCTGCCAGAGACATCCCAATCCAGTGTGCAAGAAATCATGGCCTCACACTGCCTTGAGTCTCTGCTGGAGCCCTGCTGAACATTGGGTGCTTGTGTTAATCAGCCTAAGAGTTATTTTTACAATATTTTTACTTCCCAAGGTTAAAGCTGATAGAAAAATAATATAGAAATAAGAAATTTTAAAAAGTCTACAAGGAACAACTGAGAAATATTACTTCTGCTTAGCTTTGGTTATTTGAAAAGGAGCTCTGTTTCACTTCTCACATGTTAAGCTTTTCTTTGGATAAGATTTAGAAACAATAATGAATTTCAGTGCTACAATAGGTTGAAATTGAATGTTTACCTATGCTTTGACTGAACAAAACCATTATAATTAATTGTATTTCAAACAGCATGCACACAATAAAATAGATTCCTCCATATAGTAACATTTAGTAAATAGGCAGTATTTTTCTCTTTTCTCAAGACCAGATAACAATGGACCAATTATTCTTTACTGCTTTCTAAGAGGGCTTCCCATTGTACAGAGAGGTTTAACATCTGGATCAATGCTTGCATGATTCTTAATGAAGTCCTTTAGCTCTTAGAAATTATCGAAAAAACATCTCTCGTGGAAAACAAAGATTAGTTTAGCTGGATGTCATGCTGAGCAATGAATGTTTTTCTTGGCTGGCACACCACAAAACTGCTTCTATTATCTGCACCAAGGAAGGATCTCCAGGCTTTAGTCCAGTAAACAAACATTTTCTTGTCATTCAGTGTATTCTGAAGCTTCCTGGTTTTCCTTATGGGTGAATTAACTGCACCATGTGGTTGTTGCCATTGCATCTTTGCTTTGCAGTGTGCCCATAAAGGAGACTCAAAGGAACCCCTGGAAAAATCTGTACATGTGACATAGCCCTGACAAATCCTACATATCTGTCCTGTAAATCCACATGTTAAAATTTGCCAGAACAAGGATTAAGCTGTGTGAGAGGGCTGTTGGCAAAGAGCAGGAGGTACAAGGTGCAGCAGTGAGGGACTGTGCTGGGGTACCGGCCTCTTCAGCACTTTTACAGATCACTGCCAGGTGTACACTTAGAGCTTTGTTTTTCGTGTGTTCTCTGCCTGTTCCCCTGTGCTGCACTCCAGCTGAAGGGCAGTGTGTGTGAGGAGCAGCAGTGCTGGCCCAGAGCCCAGCAGTGCCAGGGCAGGAGGCTCAGCAGCAGCGCTCACTGTGACCATCACACACTCGTGGATGGTGCCTCTCACACCAAGGGGCAGCACTGCAAACAGCTCTGTCAGATCAAGTCACGCACATGCCTGTAAGAGCAGTCTCTTTCTCCTCATGGGAGTAGCCTGATAAGAGTGTGAGCTGATCCCTTACTTGAATCCCAGGTTTTATTCATAAATCACTTCAGCAGTTTTCTCTCACTCTTTGGCACACCATTCCAGTTCTCTGCGTTTCCACCTAACACAGGGGCCTCTACTGAAGGGCTCTCTGTAATTCTGCTAGTGCTGGCTCCAGCAGAGGTGAGGCTCAATAAATCTCAGCTGGTGAATAACTCTGATTTTTAGTTGAAGAGATAAATGATGTGAGGGAAGCAATCACAGCAGAGAGTTGTTCTGGTAAAGCGAATCAATGCAGGCTTAAAAATGTCCCATTCTGGGACCTGTGTTTCATGGGATGACCAAAGGATGCTGCAAGAGCTAAGCAATGAAATCTTTGCTTCCCCTCTGAATATGAGGAAGAGTTCCACATCTAAATGATTAGTTTAATACTCTCTTTTTAAATTAAAACACGCAAGGGGAGAGACACTGAAAAAGAGAGTGTGGCTAGAGGCTTCGCAGCAGTTATCCCCACGCTGATGAACAGCATGGCTCTGTGCTCTCCAGCCGAGGGACTGGAGAAGTGAAATTACATCTGACAGCTTTATTTCTACATTACCTCAATTTTGGCTAAAGGCAAAGTTGATTAAAAAGAGAAAATACTTAGGATGTTAGGATTTGTGGCTGCATTTCTTTGCTGAAGTCCCAGCATTAATCCAGACTTGTCTGCACTGGTTACAGGAAGAGAAAAGGTAATTCTGTACCAATTTCAATGTGTGTTTATAAATAAAGTACTGCTGTAATAATAGAGCTTTTTTAATGCATGAAATTTAAGAGTTCATATGTCAAGAGAAGCACAGCTGCAAAGTGATGGAAAAACTACATTTAGTAATAAGCACCTGAGAATGGTGTGCTTAGGAGGGTAAATAATTGGAATAAACAGAGCTACTCTGGAGGAAAATTATTGTACAAGAAAATATTAAAGTGTGATTATTATCTATAGAAATAGAAACACTTTCTCTAGATAAGTATGCATAGAGAGACATGCAAACAAGGACAAAAGCAGTCACCTTGTACAAAGGAGCAACTTCAGAAGTCCTGGAGAAAAACCACAGAAGTGATAAGTGACAGATTCTGCCTTGCCTTTTTTTTTTTTTTTGTGTTAATCCTGTTCATCTGGGTTCTTTTCAATACTTTACAAAAATAGTGCTGAGGTCATGATATGGCTTTGGTTTTTGTTAATTAGCCAGATTCACAAAGGGTATTGACCAGTTAGGACACCAGTGGGAACTTGTTGTATGAATTCAGTTTGCATTATTTACAATGTGGTTCTAAAAGGGAGGGGATTCTGTTGCAGTGTGTTGGATTCATATTCCAATAGGATTCTGTCTGTTCATGTTTAGGGTGGAAATGAACTCAATACAAACCTCTCCTCATAAGGAATTCTAAAAACAACTTAAAAGATTCTGTAAAGAAATAAATTTTTAGCATTTTGAAAAAGGATGAAGCAGAAACAACAAGATGAAAAATCTGTCAGAACTAATAATCCAAATGTTTGTGTCTCTCACCCTGCGAGGCCAGTCAATCTTTGAAATTACCTTTTTTATTATTTTTTGAACTTTAAGTACTATAGCAAGTATCTAAATGAAACTTTTTAATATTTCATGGATTGCACACCTTCTAATCTGTTCTTTATTTAATCTTTATGAAAATCACCCTTCAAATTCATTTTATTCATTCCTGAAAGACCCATATCTTATGCATTATAATTTTTTAATTATCTTGATTTGTGTACAGCTATGACTAGAGAAAATTACAGCTTGAATTTCCAAAATAACTGGTGTGACATACATGGCATCTAAATGATGTTCCATATCCCTCACCAAAGAGCATTTTGGATGGTTTGCTGAAATGTTTTCCCTGAGCAAGTTAAATATTGTAATTCCAGTTTTGTGTTTCATTCCCCAAATTAGCTTAACCTGGTAGTAATACTGGTTGCAAACAGTTCAGATATTAATTGCCATGGCTTCCCCAGCCCTCAGCCTTTCTGAACATCTTCCTTAGGAGATGGCACCCTGAGGAAAAAAAGTGAAAAGATTTCCTTTCACAGGGAAACAGTGAGAAATGAAATAGCCAGCACTGATGTGTGGTGGGAAGTGACAGAGACTGATGCTCTAAGCATGTTTAATTAGTTGTTATTGGTGCAAGTTTTATCCTCGACACCCACTGACATGGCTGGGCCAGGAGAGCCAGCCCAAGGCAGCCCAGAGCTGCCAGCCCTTTCTCAGCCCTTGTGTTAGCTCTGTTTTGTCAATGACAGGGATCAGGAGGAAGTAAAGCTTCTCCAGTGTTTCACTGTCACAGCTGCTGTGAGAAGGGAACTGGGGGACAGCCATGACAGCTGAGATGCTCTGCTGGAGTGAGAAACCAGGCAAACTCCAAAGTCCAAGCAGGCACCTGTCTGTCAAGTAGTTCATGACAATCTAAGTGATAACAGCTGAAAAAGCAATCACTTATCAAACAGGTTAGTCAGGTGATGATAACAATGTTCCAGTGCTGTTCTTTGGTCTCCAATGGCTTCAGTCTTGGATGTTTCTTAATCTCCAAGGTCAAAACTGCTGGGCTCAAGACTTCTTTAATGAGAAAGGCAAGGAGCAAGATGGGGGTCTTTGCTCCTCCCCAAGCTGTGCTATCACTGGTGGTTATACATCCATTTTTGTTAGAGAAAACCAGTCTGGTCCAAGGGCTCACAACTTCTTTCCACAGGCCCTGACTGTTCCAGGCTGTCCAAACAGGTGGTGCACGTCCACCCTGGCATGACTTGGATGACCATCAGATGCTGGTCATGCAATTCCTGCTAATGGCCACCAATCTGAATAGCCAGCAGGATTAAATAACCTCATGACTTTTATACAGCTATGCCAAATTAGTGTATGTTATGCAATGTTTCACTTTCTGCTTTGAACTGAGCAGCTGTGTGGTGTGTCTGGTGTGCAAGGCAAGGGTGCTTTCCACTGGGAGCTGCAGTGGTAATCCGGCCACTCTCCTGGCTGGAACTCTCACAGGAGCCTCCTGTTTCTTGTCCTGATTAAGTCTTTCAAGCCAAAAATTGCAGTGGGCAGAGTTTTCAATCTCCATTATCCAGAGTGCAGGTGTGAACCCTGGTACAGACCTGATGGCATCTACGGTGACAGTCAGGGTCTGGCCCCAAAAGAGGAGGAGCAAAGGCACAAGGCAGCGCAGGGAGGTGCAGTGGGCACCTGAGGAGCACAGGCTGGCACACACACTCACTCACTCACTAGCAGCACTGGCTGGAGCTGCTTTCAGCAGCTTTTGTCATGTTTCACACTGTATCTTTGATCCAAATGTATTTTACTGTGGCAAAAGCTGCTTGTACCTCCCTTAGCATATGTGCAGTATGTGTTGTGTTATTCTTTTCTCCAGATGATTTAAACAATGCTTTCCTCAGCTGCTCCTACTGCTCCTGGTTCACATAGATGCTTCATCTCCCACACAGTGTCTCTAAATTATTTGTATTTTTTGAGTGTGCCCTGGAAAACTTGCTAAATCTGTCTTTCAGATCAGGCATTCAGTTCCACCCAGAAGCTGAAAATATTTGACAACTTTCAGTGTTTTTTCCTCCTCTGTGGAACTTAAAAATACAGAACCCTGTGAGAATGAATGAGAAGCCCGGCTTATGTAATGCTGGTAGAGCTTAGCTGCACATTCAGATTGTATTTAAGGCAAAGCTTAACATGCAGATGAGGTTTTACAATTCTTCATCCCTCCTGTTCTTCCTTGTTTCCCTATAATGGATTTTGATTTATTTGATAATGGGATCAGACTTCTCTCCTCTGTATCATCAGGAACCTTTACAAGTTTTCTGCTAAGGGAAGGGATAGCAAGATTTGCATTATGGGGCTTTTTTGTTATCTTCCCTCCACTGCAACTGAGATTTGAGAAACCATGGTAAGGCAAATTTTTTTTTTTTCTAGATACATATCTATAAAACAATAAAAACTATAAATATGTATATGTGTACTGATAAGAATTATATAATACATTATTACTAGCTGGACGTAAAGGCAATTATTTTCTACCTGAGACTATAAATGTGTTAGGCAGATTTTTCCAGCTTAGAAAGTTTCTTCTGTGTATTTTTATCATTGGGCATTCTTGTCAGAGAAAAACTGCCAAAAACTTTAATGTACCCTGGATTCATTAGTAGCTGCTAATGAATCTGTGATTCTACAAAATGCCAGTGAAAGAAACAAAATCTCTTCATGAGTTTTTCTGTGTTAATAGTCTTCCTGCAGCTACCCTAGGTCACATACGTATTCATCAAACATCTGTTTTTACTTGCTGGCAAACTGAGCTAATAATATATGCAGTAGTCTGAGCTGAACCAAAGTTGAGATGTGTGCAAGCTTGTACATGTGTTTTCCAGAAAAAAGGGAAAAACACTTAGACTTACAATAGATGCCTTCTATTTAGCTTACTTATTTTTATTCTGCATGTATTTCATTATTATTAGCAACAACTTTTTATCAATGTTACCATAGAAATGAAGAATGCTAATTTCTAGAATCATGCCAAAACTCATTTTCCATTCTGTTTACTTAGTTGCTCTACTGCAAACAATGCTTGCTAGATAGCTGTGAATAATTCAGAGCAGCTACATTATTTGGCCAGTTTATTTTTGTGTGCAATATCCTTCTGTTTCAGCAATACATTTTACATGTTGTTCTGGAAAAGAGTCCTGTGAAACTATGCTGAATTTTAAAGGCAAAACCATCAATGAATTTCTGGGAGGAGGAGGGGGAAACCCTAACAAGAATCCATAAGATTAAAGAAAAGGAAGGGCAGGGCTGTAACTTATGTACTGAGTAGCTCTTTTCTCTTTGAAAGCCATTTCATACTAATTCATAAGATGTGTTTCTTCAAGCCAGTACATACATGTTTTAATGGAACTCAATGATCATCAGGCATAAATCATGTACCAAGCTGCTCTTTAATGTCTCTCCTGAGAGCTCAGACTGTCAGAAGAACTTAAGGCACTGCAGCTGTATCACCTACAGCCATCTAGAACCTGAGTCATTTAACCATAACATTACAATTTATTTAATTTTGAAATACTAATTAATTGCCAGGGAAGAGGGCAAGAGATTCTAGAACTATCTAATAACCACACTTGTAATGCAGTGATTGCTTAGAAAATAAACTCTCTTAAAATAACATCTTGGAATTCCATAATTTAAATAGTTAGGTCACTTCACTGTGAATCCTAATAGTTTGGAAACAATTTCAAAATATTCCTACTGTAACAACCGAATCCCCTTTAAAAATCAACACATTCTTTCTGCTTCATGCATCACCATCAGCTACTGCAAATTGCAAATGTCCTAGAATCAAAACTTAGCAAGCAATTTTGTTAATGTAGCAGAAGGTGGAAAAGAATACATTTCAGTCTTTCACAGCAATATTGACTCTATTGTGCTGACAATATTGCTCATGCTTCATGGTACTGCATAACTGGAAAGAGAGACAAATCAGAGATTTACAGCACCTTTTACACAGTACAGTATTTTTACATAGCCATCCTCTTGATTATTCTCCCCCCAACATGTGGCCATGAATAAAGAGAGAGAAGAGGAAGAAAGGGAGATGTTGTTACCTAAGTGTAGGCTCCTGACTCTATCTTCTGGCATTGTGAATGAGAGCATTGATTTTATAATGCACATAGCACTTGGTGATTCCTCTGGTCTGTATTTACAGACTTGCTTGCCTATTCTCTACCATTCACCTGTTTCCTTACAGCCTGTGTAACTCAGAAGTGAATCTCCCTTTGGTATTGGATACTCCTATTGTTTCCTTGTATGCTGTAAACAGCAACAGCACCTCAGAGCTGTGTGCCGGCACAACGCAGGTAGTAAATAACTGATTCAGCTCTTAAAAAGAACTTCACAACTGACAAGTTTCTGCACAAAATCCTGCATTTCCACACAGTGCACGGCTCCATTGGTAAGAGCCCCATCTGGAGCCCCAGCAGTGTCACAGGCACTGAACTGCACTCACACAGAGATGTGCCGTGGCATCCAGTTAAGTCTGGAGGGGTTAGCCAGGCTATGCCCAGCTATTTGCACGGAAACTGAGAGTGCAAAACTACCCCTAATGTCATTAATCACCTCTGCCTCAGATCCGCAGAAGCGTCTCTCCGTGTATCAGCCTTTTCCAAGGCTATCCCCCGGGAAACTCACTGTAGTCACAGCCCATCTTTAGACATTACGACTTGGACTTTCCACATCCTTTCAACCCATTTTTGCATTGCAGCATGTGAGTGTCTGTCTGTGTAAGCAATGTGGTGATGATCACTTTGATCAGCCCTGGTACCAGCACTGCCAGCCCTTTTCCCACTGCACGCAGGAGCACATCCCATAAATCCGGAGTGACTGCAGCCAGCCATCTGCAAGGGAGCCAACATTCAGCTGCAACGAGCAGGTAATGCTTTTGTAGTCAGGATTTTTCAGCTGTGGTTTCTCTTTTCACTTGAAAAGGTTTTGATCAAGAATGGCAGTTGAAAAAAAAATCCTACTGTTCAGTACATATATTAAAGCTTCATCTTTTCTCTGCTGTCTCTTCATATGTCCTCCTTTAAATTAAAAAATTAGCAACTCAACCCAAACTTTCAAATCCAAGCAAAATTATTGCTGCTTGTAAAACTGCAGTAAGATTATTTTAATGTGCATTACTAATATTTTTGATGTCCTAGCTCTGATTACACCATTCACAAAATGTTTAGAAAAATGCATATTAGTGCATATCAATAAGGATGGATTGAATTTGAGTGCCTTTATAGTGCTGCTGATAAAATTCTCACTCGCCAGAACAGAGTGTGCTGCAGTAACAGAACTGTTCAGCAAGAGCATATTTGCACATGGTGAGCTTGGAGCAGAAATCTGCTTTCCCCTGGCAAGCTCTGTAACATCTGTGAGAGATAACAGCAGAAAGGTGGAAGATTTAGCACCCTTTGTCATGTTTGTCCACGCTGTGATAGCTGATGTCTGATGCTTGTCTTTGAACTCTGTTTCTAAGAAGAATGGGGTGGGCTAAAGATCTCTGTATCTCTGGCTCCTTTTGATTAATTTCATTTCACTGTGCCCATCTGTGTGTCAGTGTCAGATAGCCACTGCCTGCTGCGGGCAGCCCCATCTCCAGATTTCTCATTCCTGAGCAATTTGCAGCGAGTGACCCTGCTTCTCCTGCCTTCTCTGGGTACATTTGGTGTGCTTTTCCTCTTTGGGAGATCTGCAGAGCAGCAGCACCAGCTGCTGACCAGTGCCTTCAGCCTGTGCCAGGCTCTGACCAGTGCCTTCAGCTCTGCTCTCACAGGATAAACCACGGGATGGCTCCAGCTGGGAGATCCCAGCCAGGCTCCTCCAGGAAGCCACGGGAATGTGGGAGAAATGTGAGCTGGGGATGGCTCACTCTAATGCACCTCAGAAGGGGTAAAGAGCTGATGGCTTCATCTTCAGGAATGCACTACAGGGACTAGGGGGATTTTGAAGGAATTTTGAATGAGTTAAAGGCAGGACCTCTGAGGTTTTAGATAGTGCGGTTTATTTTTCTTCTATATAGGCAGGAAGGGTGAGTTCAACTCGTATCTTCAGAGGATGGTTCAGAAGATCACAAGACCCCTAGTTACAAGATATTTCAAGGACTTATTAACCAAAAAAACACTACCAAAGAAGATATTTATATTTTTAACCTAATCCTTAAATATTTTGTGTTATGGACTCAAGCTACAGTGTAAGCTTTCTTAGTCAATCATGTTATGACACACAAACCTACAGTACTGTATTCTAAAACTCTAAACTTCCTTCTACTTGTGTCTCTACTTTAAACTGTAAATCCACATTCTCACTTCTAGCACCTGAATTTGGAAGCCTTTTCCAAGGGCTCAGACCAAGGGATCAGCTGCATCGAGCAGGTAATGCTTTTGTAGTCAGGATTTTTCAGCCGTGGTTTCTCTTTTCACTTGAAAAGGTTTTGATCAAGAATGGCAGTTTAAACACAGGATCCCTCAGATCCTGTGTTTAATTCTAAGCTTTGACTTACAGGCCCAAAGTTCTGAGAATTCCCTGCATTTTGGATTCCAACAAGGATACCCCAGAATTTTGGCTTTTCCTGCACTGATGACAATTTTAAAACTGACTGTGTAGTGCTGTCCTCTTGAAAGAGTGTGCAGTTACTGGAATAAATCACACTTTTTCTTCCCCTCTGTCAGCTATTAATAGTGGTAAATTTTAATTGCATATGTAAATAAAAACACTGTGTACTCATTAGTTTAAATATGTTTTTCATTAGGCAAATGAAATGCTTATTGTATATGATGCAAAGCTAAAAGGAGAATGTTAACAGCATTGAGCAGTTTGGGAAGTATAGTGACTTGAATTTTTAAAGTTCTTTCTTAGGATAAAAATAAGCCATGTTTTAAGGGATTATTATGGGCAAATTTTGCAGTAGAGACATCTTGTTTCTGGAAATGGGAAAAACAAAGATAAGTGACAGAAGTATGAGTATGGTGTCAAGGCCAATGCATTAAAACTTCTACTGAAAGGGAGAGACAGCACATAAACTTGCATTACTATTTATAGCATTGGCTATTTTAGAGATGGTAACTGCAAGGAGGGCAGCATTTTTCAGTTCCTATATAGAAAAATCCTGACATGTCTCACATTTTGATATCTTGAAACATATTGGTCCCAAATTACATCACTTCTTCATCGTCAATTTTCAAACTCTTGGAACGCCACACTCCAAATACACTTTTTGCTATTTTTAGGGGTATGTAATTATAGTCAAGAAGACACAATTTTTCAGTTCAGTAATCCATACTTCCAAGCTTGGAGTATATTTATCTACCTACGAGCTCATAATTTGTTTCCTTTCTATCAACAAAATACCCAGAATTTCATAAGTAATTCACTTCTAAACCTTCTTTTCTATCTCCTTCCACTGTTCTGCTCACTATGAAATGAGAGAAATCTTATCACAGAGACATTTAGTAAATTAGTATCATTTTATACAAAAGCCTGCCCTCTAAACACTTCAGTCTTAGTAAAAAGATACTCTGAAGGTATGACTTTCTAAAGTTATGGCTCAGAACAGTTTAACAATCTCCCTTAATATCCAAGCATGTGTTTCATGATTAATATGAGAACATAAAATCTCCCTCCCTGCAAAACTCAGAGCACCAAATACACTTTCTTCCCATATGCTTCCCATATTAGAGAGCCAAGATAAAAACCATTTTTATTTTATAAAGATAAGCTTGAATATACTTGTCTCATCCATGTTTCTTTAGTTCAAATTCTATCAAACTTTTATACTGGAGCACAGTAAAATATTTATATGCAAGATGTAGCAAACGAAATGCAAGGGCTGGCTAGAGGGCAGTCTCTTGGAATTAACACAGAGCAGTCTAAAAAGGACTGATTTCTTACTCTTCTGGATTCTTCATTTGCCAAGCTAAATTGTAGCTAGCAGTACCCATGGCCAAGAGAATAAAGGCAACAGCGATTCCACTTTGTATGAAGAATTATTGCATTTGACATGGCTGAAAACATATTAATAGTTTTTAAGACTGAAACGGGACTATAGGATATCAGACTGGATTTAATACATAAGAGAGGCCAGAAGGTTTCACTTGTCAGTGCCCTGAACAAGTCTATGAATTTAGGCTGAGTTTCAATAAAGTTTTGAGGATGATATTCAGTTTGGTCATGGCTGAAAAGCCAAGAATCAAGTAATCTCTTTTGCATCTTCTTGCAGGAAATGTTTAAAGCTCTCATAATTTAAAAAGCAAGGCTTTGCATTTGATTTTTTTTCACTTGTCTGGATCAATCTTCTAGTCATTGCATCATAATTTATTTCACCCTACCACTGGGCCATCTGAGGAGAATAGGAATAATAAAGTTGAGAGGGAAAAGATAGATAGAGGTTTTGTCAAACAAAACAGTTTGAGTTTTGTTTCAAGAGATTTAAGGAGGCTGTGATTTAATACATGATGATATCCCATAATATATAATAGGTGCCCTTGATGCCTTCAAAATATTTTTCTAGTCTGCTGTATTAAAACCAGTAGGCAGTGTAATGTATAAGTATCATTCACTGGATATTCATGCTTTCATACACAAAGAACAAAAATCCTCCTTCAGTTGGGATCCATGCCCCAACAAATCCACTGACTCATTCCAAAGAGTTTGAGCATAAGAGCCCAGCAGGCCCATTGTTTACAGGCTAAGGAGAATTACGAAGCAATCCCACCCTGAGCTTCATTGTTATTACTGTTCAGAAAAGAAATCCTCATTGATTTCTAATGCATGTAGTGTTTCTCCAAAGTTATAAGTATTCACAGAAAGTGGTTATCTTTTACAAATTATTTCACTGATCTGCAGATGATTCCGTTGATTCTCATCCAGCATCAGATCCTCTGAATGATTTCTCATGAGGTTCCCCTCCCTCTCACCACTGAATTTCTCTAGGTAGGAGATGAACTTCAGAGATGTATTTAACATGGTACATAGATGTCTTCACACAGACACAACTCACTCTAGCTTTTAACAGCTCCTTCAGGTTCCTCAAGAAACTTGTGGTAGAGGTGAGAAATCTGAGGCTATGTAACACTTCAGTCTGTAGTAAGCTCTCAAATATTTAAATTGTGGATACATCTAGACCAAGTGTTTTTAATGGTAAAGTGTAATGATATGTAGATAGATGAGGAAACGCAATTTCTGTATAACTCATCCAAAACTAGCTTATCACATTTTATCCACATTCAAATGTCTTATCTGAAACTTGGCTCAGCAGGAAATGGTAACGTGTCAAGGATCCAATTAACATTATCTCACTCCCCTGGTTTTTCCTTCAATTTCTCTGCCTTATGGGAGCTGCTTCAAGTTCTGTTGTTACTCACAGTGAAATTGATTGATTTTTGGCATAGTTCTGGTTTGCTGATTACTCAAACACTACTGGAACCTCTGAATTTGTATGAAATATGAACCTCCCCACAGGGGAAAATCCACTCAGGAGTGTGTCTTCAGAATTCTGGATGGTTACTTCTTTGTTCTGTCTGGATTACTTTGTGCAAACTGTGAAACCTTCTAAACCCAAACGTTATTGAATGGTCCATTTTGTAGAGTGTACAACATCAAAAGGAACATGAGTTTTAAGTACAGTCAGCCTGCCAAAATCAAATTTAAAAAGAGGAAACTGGAGTGCTCTTTAACAGGGAGAGTTGGAAAGCTGTATTTGACGCTAAGGAGTATGAATAGGAGGAGTGAGAGAGGTCCATGTTGAATATATTTGTGCACTGAGATAATTATTCTTTATAAATAAAGGAGCAATTATCAACAGCAATACACTGAACAGTAGAATTTTACCTGAATTCTTCCAGTAGCAACCATAATATCCTTGCAAGGCAACACCAGAAAAGAGTGCCTGTAAAGGGGTTCTTAGCTAAGCAATGTTAAACGTAAACACTACATGATTTTTAAAAATTAATTCCCTTTCAGCAGAAACCCCAGCAAGACTCTGCTTTGGATTTTGTTTTATCTTTTCCAAGATTCCCAGTTACAATAGACGAATCTCATGTGCGCTAACCTGGAAATCTTTTTACCTTTGTTATTCTAGAAAATTTGCCAGCCTCCATTTCCACTTCAAGTGATTATCTGCCACACAGCTGTTACTGTAAATTCCAAGTTATGAAGGGTCAGTCACCAATATAGAGAATTGTGGGAGGTAGAACAAGAAAGGAGAGAAACTTTGTGTCTCCAAACTCTTCTCTTCAAGCAGTCCAAGACAACTAAAGATACGATGTGATTTAGGATCTGGTTTGTTATGTAGTTATCTTGCCACTATATTTTTTCTACTGAGTAATATCAGTTTTGAGTTCCTATTTATCTATATTTAGCAACAGGTGTTGTTCAAGTCTCAATATGCTAAATTGATTCCCTGGGAAGCATTTATTTACTATCTATGTGTAACTAAGAGAATGAAAATTAGAATACAAAGAATTAAACTGAAGTTGGTAGCTGTGGAGACAAGCCATGAAAAAAGAAAATAATCCATCAAGTCTATCATGGATCAGTTTTCACTCTCTTCCTTGAGCTTCTTTCCTGCTTGGAACAGACAGTGGGGTTTACCATGCAAAGCAGTATGGAAAACAGCATTCCCCAGGGAGAGGAGCAGCATCTTTTTGAGATTAATATGTGTAATGTCTTGAGAACTACTGTTGCCTTGGAGGAAGGCAATCCATACCTGCAGGCACACGGTTTGTGGTGATTGGGGTGGGGCTGTGGGAGCCTCATCCCCAGTGGGCACAGCTGTGAGCAGCAGGGGAGCAGCACTGGCAGCAATGAGCCATGGAGTGCCCAGGGGCACTGACCAACCAGCAAAGGGAGCAGAGGGCACACAGGGGCAGGGCATCAACAGGAGGGGATAAAAGGTTGGGTTAAAGAGCAAGAAGGGCAGGTACTTGCAGCTTTCTAAAGTGGAATGATGTTTCTTCTGCTGGGGTAAGGTGTTATTCTGTATGGGCTGAAGCCTTCTCAAATTGTATGGTGACACACTGTGTATTGTGGCTGTCTTGATTGTGGCATGTCCTGAGACACACACCAACATAAATCACATCCTCTGAGGTGAGTCTGATAATCTATCTAGCCCAATATATACAGTCACTAGAGATGTGAATAGAAGCCTATATATGTGAAAATATGAACAAGAAATTACTAAGCTACTTGTGCAATGTGTACAGGGATATAATGTCAGCATCTCAAGATTATTTGACCCTGATCTGGGATGAGCTCAGATGTGTGCAAACCTTGATTCAAAGCACATGGAAAATGGCATGCAGATCCTTATAATGAATTTTTGAAGAAACGCTCCAGGCTGTGCCTAAGTGGGAGCGACTCCTTCAAATCTAGCTCTGATCATTAACTCATGAGCACAGCATGATGATGTGCTTCAGCTGGGGATGCCTTTGGAAATGCAGGGGAGTGATGGAGATGCTCATGTGAGTGGCACGTTATCTCCATGTCAGCGTACTGAGCTGCACACTCTGGCTAAAGCAATGGCTGCAGTTTGCAGAATGGCTGCTCAAATACTGAAATTCCTGGGTGTTAAAGCAGAATAAGTGCCCTCTTAAAGTATTTACTCATTCAGCCCAGGAACTCTACTTAAACAGACCATTTCCAAGCAAACTTCTATGAAAACAAACTTCCTCTGCCTAGTTAGCAACACAATTCCTCACACTCATACTTAGACAAAGCTCTTAAGTACCTATTGATGCCTATATCCTGTCATAAATGTTTAATATTTGAGATGCCTTTGATTCCTCTGAGATGTGTCATTTATGTTACTAATATTCTTAAATGCTTGGTTGCTAAAGTTTGGCTCCAAAAGCTATGGACCTTAGTGGGACACCTTGTGGACTGTTTTGAGGGATGGGAAACTGCAAATACCTCAATAAGTGACAGCCAGACATTTTTATTTTGAGAGTCTTCAGCACAATACTCCCAAAGAATGCCTTATTAGGAAAGTATTTTGGCAGATTTTTAATTCCTTCTGGATTTTATGATCTTGAAGCATATCTCTGAATGGACACACTTTGAACACGGAGGGGCATATCGCCCAAATCTAGGAAGTGTTCTACTGAGTACGTGCCCAAAGTTTTCATGAATCATGAATATACCTATTCCCACTGTAATACTTCATTTTTTAAATAGGATGCAAAATTACATTGAAGAGAAACTTGCTCTCAAGGCTCACATATATCGCCCATTCATAATTGAACTTACAGAGCAAAAAATATCTTTGCAGTGTAGATACCAGGTACTTGTTTGTGGTGTTATCCCATTATGTTGGATTTGAGAACTGCAGAAGTAATGGCAGCAAGGGGTAAGGAAAAAAGAGAAGGAAATTCCATACTCCAGTGATTCCAACCATCACTTTTGATTTTTGACAACCAGTCATTCATTTACTGCATCTCTCATGTCTAGTAAGTATAAATGCTTTCCTTGGTAATATGCAAATGTCCTTTCACAAATAGCAAAGGAAAATAGCTGTCCATTTGTCTAAAATTCACTATTTTCATTTGAAGATACAAACTAGGTTTTCACTGAGCCTTTTGCCTCAGCACCAGGCTCCACCTGGACTCTAGCAGTTGGTTCTATTTGTAACTGAGGCCAGTTACTTTTGAAAGCACACTCTGCTTTCTGCTCACTGTAGAGAAACCTCAACACGTTTCTGCAAGAAATCAAAGGTATAGCTTTTTCTCCTCAGGTTCACAGTGTAATTCATAGTTTTAAGATGGCTCCTCTCCAGACAGAAGCAATGAAAGTACAAAATTGTTTCATTTCCAGACAAACACCTCAGGTTTACAATCCTTCTCTCTCCTTCTCCTCTATTTCTGTACCACTCACATCACCCAAGAAACAAAGATGTATGCCAGGCAGACATCACAACTATCTTCACTAACATCTGTTACAGGCCAATTTCAATGCTATTGCTGCTTCTTCTCTCATTCTGTATGTATGAGCTGGTATTAATATCTCCAAGGAAAGTAAATGCATGAATCAATGTGTGTGAATCAAACAGGCTGAACAAATGAAGTGTATGTATAAAAAAAAGCATGTGTTATGTTTGTACATCCAGGTTCTGTTTTGAGCATCACGTGTGGTGGGGGCACATTGAGGAGGCCACATGCAGCTTGTGCAGGAAAGGCAGAGCAGACAGAGGAAGAGTCAGAGAGACAAAGCCTTCATGCAGGTGGTCACAGAAACAAAGGTGTGGGCAGTCTCTGGGGCTGTGATGCTGTCTGTTCTGCTGCCACACAGGTCTCAGAGGAAAGGACTGGCAAACCACCTTCCTATCGAGCCACAACAGCAGAGGAGAAGGAGGACAGGGCATCAGGAACCAGGGCCAAAAGACCTAAAGATGTAGTGGCTGCTTGCCCACAATAAGTTCTTCCAAGGTGAGATGTTTTCAGAAAGTATGGCATGTCCATCCTGAGAAGAAAAACAGGCAGAAGGGGAGGTACTATCAAAAACCATTTCTGGAACTGCTGCTGCTAAGTGTGTGTTACAGCTGCCCTTCAGCTGCTCCCCTTTGATTTGCCCTGACAGAAGCTGCCTGTAGCAGTGATGTTTGTCCCAGTGCTGCTGAGAGGGGGCGGCCACTCACTCACCTGCTGGCTGACAAAGGTCAGCTTGTTCAAAGCCACTTGCAGCCCCACATTTCCTTGAGCACCCACGGAGGAGACAGTGCTTGCACTCTGCAGCCCAGCTCAACCTTGCCAATAAGGCAGCCTGCTGCTGGTCAGTGAGTGATGGCCACAGCCATGCCACAGGGACAATGACATCTGCAGCCCAGCTCAACCTTGCCAATAAGGCAGCCTGCTGCTGGTCAGTGAGTGATGGCCACAGCCATGCCACAGGGACAATGACACTGTCCCCAGCCCCAGTGGCTCTCCCTATTCCACTCATCCATTGTACCTGTAATTCATCAGATGTGTCACAGGCAGCCACCTCCAGCTACCCTGTCCTAGCAGGTACAGTCTGTTATAACAAATATAGCAAAACAGTAAGAGGATATAGAAACTCATAGCTGACTAATAAGGGAGAAGGGTGATTTAGCTGGAACGTGTGAGGGTGGTAGATACCTTTTGGTAGTGTTCAAATTAGCACCTTTCAAAATTCAGTGCAGCTGTGGCTGAAAACTCCCCTCACTCAGCCAGGCCATGTCACTGTCCTGTCCTATGCTGAGTGCATGGCCCAGGAACTGGATCTACTTCATGCTATATAATGTTCTGAACACTGGTGTCACTGCTATTTTGCTTTATGTGATAGCAATAGGCATTTTTGCAGGAGAAAAATAGGTACAGGAAGCCCTCCAAGGTCAATATAACAGTCTAAATAGCCAGATGCTATTTCCTTGTGAATTACAAGGCTGAGCTGCCAAACATCTCTTAGTTATGTAAATTATGAAAATTCCGAGCACTGCAGTGCAGACAAAAAGATCTACTGCTGTTGAATCATTTTCTCTGGTTCAGAAATGACCATATCTTACCCTTTTGTTCCAGATTTTATTTGCATTGCATGATTGTGTTTCTTCCTGTCAGATATAGGAACGAAGCTAACATCTTTGCTTTAGGATATTGTTCTTTTATTATCAAAAAGGCATTCAGCAGACTTGCAGAAATTCTTTTCAGACATGGAGAAAATAACACAAACCCAGCATTGAGCTACTCCTTTTAAGCTATCTGCTGTTAAAGTGATTATTAAACCCCAGGACAGGTTTAAGGGTAATCCAGATGAATATTGTTTTCTTCAAAGCAATAGTAAAGTCATCTGCTTTTTCCTTGTTGCCGTAGGACTGACATTAGTAAAGGCATACCAAGTGAAATTGGGAATTATTTTCCTCTACTTCCTTTAAAGTTCAATTTCTGCCATTTACTGCTCGTAGTTATCTGATGTAAGGAAGACTGTTTCCTTTTTGAAAAATGCTGTGGATAAGTGTTGTTTTCCCACTTTCACTTGGGAAACATGGTAAAAAGATCCCATGAGATGAAAATGAACTCCTTTTCTGGAACAAAAAAATAAATAAGGGCTATGCAGAAAATAAGCAGGAGCATTTTGAAATATGTGAATGTAGAACAGATATGAGAATAGCAGTGTGTGTTAATGCTACAGGCTTGAGTCTCGTTTAAGAAATAGGAGGTAAATGCTTGTTTTATGGGGAAAAAGTCAAATGACAACAGGCAAAATAATGAAAAATGTAGGGCACAACATTTCATGAAACAATTTATAGTATCAGGACTGCCCATGTCAGGACAAAGTGAGTGGAAAATGCAGCTAAATTAGAATAATTAGGGTTAATAGGCTCTTTGCATTGTAATGAGTAATTATTTAATTCACAGGTCAAAGTCAGTCTCTTTGGGTTCCTCTGGTATTTTTTTATTGAGTAGAGTGTAAGAGGATAATAGCTGAAACAAGCAGCACTGCATCTGGAGGAGGTTTGTTGTCCATATAAAATCAATCATTAAAGTTAATTCTACTTCATTCACTGCTTCCCCGGTTTGATCATCCCAGCTGCTTCCCTAGAGAAACAACATTCCTATTTTTCCTTTTTTTTTTCTGTTAATCTTCCTTGGTCTTACATGGCTTCATGCAGTGGTGCTGTCAGCAAGATGATGTCTAGTCCCAATTAGAAATTCAATCAATATTCACATAATGAGGGTTCTAGCAAAACCATGTCATTTAGTTCAAAGGCATGGATATATTACTGTAGCAATTCAGGATTCAAGTAATTTAGGGCACCTCAGTGAAAAAAGATAAAATAAAGCTGAAGGGCTTAGAGGTAGTTAATTGTTACTATGGCAACTTCCTAAATAAGCTTTAGATTCTAGTCATTTTTCAGTTTATTTGGAGGCAGAACAGAATCATTAAAGATGAAACTTATTTAAAGCTCAGAGCAGTTATGGGATCTTATAGTTTCCTGCTGTTCCTTATGGAGTTACTTAAACTTTGTCCACCTCAACTTTGAACTATGTAAAAGAGCAAGATGCAGCCTGCATAAATTAAAAAAAAATGACAGCATGTTAGGTAACAATGATCTAATTCAGTAACTTTGGCAATTGTATTTTTACATTTTTTTCTCCCAGTAGAACTCTTTTAAAAGCATTGTGTAGGAAAGAAGTGGTCCTCAGCAAAGAATGCACTGACCTGTCCATAAAATGAAGTTATTATGATCTGATTTTCAACAATGGTCACTGATGGTGAGGGCACATTTGTCCACCTTTCCTTCCACAAAACCCCCACATGTGGAATAGCAGGGCTGCATTTTAGCCTGATCCTTGGCCAGTGCTGTAACAATTGTGATGATAAGGACCCAGGAGAAAGGCTGCCATATCAAAATCTTGCCATGCTGATTGTGTCCATTTGTGTTCTTAATGTGAATGAATATATTTGGCCTCTGTGGGGCTGCATCACTGGGCAGATCCAAAGAGCCTTCTACAGGCACCAATGGAGACAGCAGAGAGACAACAGAGCTGAGAAAACTCTCAATCCCTGGGCATTAATTAGGTGAAGATCCATATCAGCCTAAACTTTTTGCATGATCTCAGCAGCTGTAACTCACTTCCTTAACCACTTCCATAGTGGTGATATCACACACTTCCATAGTGTGTGATAAACCCCCCAGGCCATGAAATAAAATCGTGTCTCAGTAGGAGACACCCCTTGGCTTCTCACAGAAGTAAATTCATACCCTCAGACCTGTTTTCACTCTTCTGTGGGCTGGAAATCTCTGAAGTCACTGAGTCATAACTGCAAAGCTGTCAGAGAATGATGCCTTAGGTGTGAAGATGCTCAGAAGACACCCCTAGAGGTGAAGGTATAAGCAGTGTAGGCTAAAGTGATGTGTTCATCTCAAAGAGAACAGCAGGACAGGTTACCTGGCTGTGAGCTCAGTGCCCCAAGGGTGAGCAGCAGCTGCTTGCAGGCATCTTTAAGCCAACCTCAAGGAGATGAACTAAGCCGGATGGGGAAACCGAGCTGTGCAGGTGTTGCTCCAAAAGAGGTAAAGGAGGGCTAGAAGGCTCTCTTATATGTGGCTGATATGTCAAGATGACATTGTCATAGGATAATTCCCTTTCCCACCACCTGCAAGCCTGCCTCTCTGTCACAAGTAATAGTCCTGCATATGGAGAGTCTCCCAGCCCAGGAAACACCTGGCTGTGTTTGACAGGCTCACAGTGACTCTAGACTTTCTCCAAAATCCCTGTGGGGGAAACAGGCTTTTCCAGGCCATGGCCCATTCCATCCTAGGGATTAAGGTACAAAAGAAATCGGTGAAAATTAGCCTGTTATTCTCCATATATCTTGAATTATGAAACAGAGAAAGGTTGAAAAAATGTCTCATCATTCATTTTCCAAATTAAATTGCTCTATTCATCTAAAAAGAGGAAAAAAGCCTTTGTTTTGAAATATAAATTGAACATCAAAGTTTCATGATATAAGCCAGTCATAATGTATATAAGTTCAAATTCAGACTTTTCCATGTTACTTTATCAGGCTTAATTCTGTTGGTCTGGGTCCCTTCTTTCGTCCTCAGATAACTCCTCCAGACGGTTTTCTGATTTAGAACAATAGGAACACTCTTTCAAATTTCACATAATTAAAAAGAAATGTGCATCCAGCTGCAAGAGAAACTGTTTTTCTCTCCCATCTGAAAAGGCTGTACCATGAGTAGGAAATCTGCACTGCCTATTACTTGCACCACTCCTTTTCTATGGAAATCTGGTCTCCAGAGTTTTAATTCAGGGAACTACAGTCAGAAGGAACTTGGCTTAATTTATATGAAAAGAAAAAAATACCTGCTGAGGACAAAAAAAAGGCGAATACGGTCTGATCCCAAACAGCCTGAGCATTATTTATTGTATTTTCTTTTCTTTGCTGTTACACAACCACAGCGCCCGGCTGTTTGCTGTGTTGCAAGGGAAGTATTTTCAAGGTTAGCACAGAAGTAATCAACCACTCAATGGTGGCATGAATATTCATATCAAGACACATTATGAGAAAGTAGATAGAGGTAAATATGCAATTTAAATATAGACTATAGCAGGAAATGGGACATGAAACAGTAATTAAATAGTGAAAATTACATGTTATTTACATAGGTAAATACACTGCAGGGGTTATGCATGTGAACTTTTCTATTAGCATTTGTTTGTTTGTGATTTAACCCTGATTTAAAAAGGGAGGCTTTTAAAGCATGAAAATGGGAAGACAGGAACACTTAGTTTGAACCAGAAAATCTGCATTGCTTGAAGGATTACCAGTATGGGCTGTCAGCCAGGTTTCACAGCTAACGTGGATCAGAATAGGTCTGTACTGCAGACGGCAGTGGTGGCTGCTCTCTGAAGCACAGCCTTTCTCCGCAGCCCTGCTCATGCAGCTCCTTCCTGTTTGGGCC